ATATACAATACAATACAATTCTTTAGCTTGGTAATTCATTACGATGGCCATGTTGTCGCGTCGTCTGCTGCAGTAGGCCTGCAACGGTCTGCGTGTGCCAACTACTGCTGCCACGCTGAGAAGGCGGACACCTCTGCCCCTGCATCACTGCGCACTGGAGCGGCACTGCTCTTCATCAGGACAGGTGCTGACTAACTTCTTCCTGGCCTTCAGAAGGGCCGACTAACTGTGCTGTCACTTCATTTACAAGCAAACTCTCCTTATGCCTTTATTAGGACATCTGAAGAACATGAGGTTATTTACTTCAGGTAAATACTGTTAATGTGCTTAATGCAATATCCGGCCATCCCTTTTCTAACCTTTTTATCCAATACTGGATCACCTTAGGGGGTGCTGGTGCCTATCCCTGCAAGCCAGTTGACCCACCAGTACGTCGTTGGACGGTGGGAGGAAACCAGCGCAGGAAGAGGAAACCCATGGAAACTTACGAAGAACATGCAAACTCCACAGAGACCCACACAGACTACCCCAGGATCTGAACCCAAGGCCCCAGCACGGCGAGACAGCAACGCCTACCACTGCACCATGAATGCTGCCCCCAGTGCAATGTCTGCAATAGGATTTTAAACATGAAGGAATAAAATAAATTGATTATAAAACAGTGTTGATTGACATTTCACCTCTGTCCCATCACATCCCATTCTGATTACAGTTCTAGTATTGCCAGTTTCTCAAATTGGGTTTTGTTTTCACTGTGGATTCCCCCTGCTGCAACAGAGTCAACGGTCATTGGTGACATAACTGAGCAGAGAAGCTTGTAATAAATCCATTCAAAGATATCAATTAAAGAGGCAGCTCATGTTGCCTGGGCTTCAGCGCTATTTCAATTTTTACTGGCTTTACGTGCGTCACGTATTCAATTTAAATTCTCTACTGTACATCCGGCTCTTATTTTATTTCTCATGGTACTGTATATATTCTATGCAAGAAATAAATGTTATTCAAATTAAAAAGAGACTTCTTCTGAGCACCTGCTACAATATCAAAATACATAGTAAGGAAATTAATCAGTAGATTCTTTTTACAATTTCTACAACAAGAAATACTTGAACGCTCCCCGTCTATTTCCTTAAAACAAGCTTCAGAAAGTCTTTGAAGGAATTTCTTCCTACAATATTACAAAGGTGTACCTCACCTAGGCTGCAGAAAAGAAAGGAAATGTAATGAGTAAGGAATAAAATTAAAGTGGGATTACTCTGACCAATGAAGTTACTACTGTAACGTTTCGCACAAGATTAAATGTATTTTTCAGCAAAATAAAAATATTAACAGATTACAACCTGTTGATAAAGACCATAAATTATAACCCTTCAGAAATCCCCCCTTTTATTTATTTGAAGACACCTTTTTTGGAATAGATACAGTAGATTCTTATTCTTTAACCACTCAGATGGTTACATCAAAAGTGGTGACATTAAAATATTCTTACTTAAATATTTAGTATTATAACTGTAATTTCGTACAGAAATTCAAGCTTTAATATAAACCCTCAGATACAGCACTGTCTGCTGCTACAGATACATACCAACTCAGTAGAAGATCACATCTTCATTCAGAGTAATGGGATGACAAAGCAGACTGTCATTCCTAAAGAAATGGCATCAAGGGAAAACTCCTCAGATTACACTGGACGTAAGCAATGCTGTTGCTTACAGGAAAATCTGTTGCTGAATGAGCTTCCTTTGATTAGGATAAGAGGATGTGTTTCTCATTGCTTTATGGAATTTAAGTTCATGTGAATAACGCATCTCAAATGTCCTCATTTGGAAGCACATCTGCATTTAATTTGTATAGTAAATGTTCAACCAGGAAGACTCAAATGCCTCACTTCCAAACTGTCTCTGCCTTGTACGTGAATGAAAGTGGTTTTCTTCCTCTCTCTTTTGATTCATCGATCTTTGTTTGCAACAGGTATTACTCCAGCACATCTAGAACTCAAAACTTCAAAATACATTAAAAAATGGTTCTAAACAAAAAGTTAAGAATGAGTGGGCCAAAATGGATTTCCAGACTTTACATTTTCAAAATTTCTATAGTTAGTTCTATAGGACTGCTATAATCACACACTGTTATGCAAAAATGTTTTCATCACACTGCAAAAAATATTAGAGCAGCCCTGCACACAATGAAAAACTGAATCTAGAACTACGGTTATCTTTAGATTTTCATAACATGATCTCAAACGAACAGTTTAAAAAGAGAAAAGTACCGAAAACATATATTTAATGAACACAAGTCCAGTATTTCGTACTTTATGCCCAAAGTGAGGTAGTGCACTGTATATAAGACACTGCTCAAGAAGACAGGAGTAACACACACTCAAGATTACTGGCTTGAAGCCCAGTTCTATTTATACCACATTCTCTCCAGCCTGGGATGGCACCATAATAACACTAATAAGACTGGCAAATGTAAAGCTGAAGTGACCGTTAGTTACACTGTTAGTGTACAAGAGAACTGAACATGTTTCATTAATGTTCAATGTTAATTGAGAACCAAGTCATCAATGACGAAGCACACTCCTGTACACGTGATTTAGAAAATTAACTAGATAAACAGGTAAGAATAAGCTGTAGGCCTCAATTTGGCTCCCCCCCCCCCCATCTGCATTTCCTCCCGAAATGGTGACAGTGGATTGAGTGGAGTGGGGAATGAGATTCCCATCTGTCGGGTTAAAAATCCTATACCTGTAGCTCAACAAAAAATCTGATTGGTTTTGAAATGGAACAAAACCTCCCTGAAAACAAACTAACTACAGTGCAATCAAAGAAAATAAAGGGATAGGTTTTGAGAAGAAATAGAACTGTAAATATCCAAGCCTTCATTCAATTACAACACCTCAAATGTGACATGAAAATGTCAAAACGTGGGAAGGATCACAGGGTAGCACATGAGGTCCCGACACTGCTGATAACACCTTTAAAGACGCTCCAGTATTTCTAGTTTGGAAAATTATTTCTCCTGCAGTAATTTTTACCATTTGAAATTCTCCCAATCAACGTTTTAATAGATGTCTGCAAGAGACTTTTGCAGAATTTAATCAAGTAGTTTTCAAATTGCAAACTGCTCTACAATATACTACTCCATGGCAACATCTTTAGTATATTGTACTAATCCATGACTCAACCAAGACAAATAACTTGTGGGACACTGGAACTCCAGAAATACAGGCAGGGTGATAGAGAATCAGAGAAGAGCATGGAAAGAAATTCCAAAGGTAGACTGCCAACACGTTTTAAGTAGTTTTTTTCCCCTACAGGAAGAAAAAACAATACTGTGAAGAGAAAAGAAACAATTCTAAAGTCCTGTAGGATTCCAAACCCCTCCTCCCATTCTTGACAAAGTATCACAGTCCTTTCATAGCGCACTTTCAACTCCCTGTGCTTTCAAAAGCATTTAATTTATCCCTTTTGTTTGCTGCGTCAGGAAGAACAGCCCCTCCCAGCTCCGGTGTAGCATATATAAATATTTGAAATGCACCAAGTTACATGAGAAATATTTAACACTTCGTTTCTTTGGTATTTCTCGCCACTGACTTACGGTCTTCCATTGCGCGCTTTTCCAATTTTGAGATACTGTATCCTGTACTTACTCTCCTAGTGTTAAATATTTTTTTCCCTATTTTAATTGCGAATGTGAAACTTCTTGAAATGCATTGATAAGACCACCTAATCACCCCCCTGCCCCCCAAACCTGGCAGGGGCTGGACAAAATGCGTCGGTTAACTTGGCTGTAGCTAAGCCCCTAAATTATAATAAACCCCACCCTTCCATAATGGGATGACTCATGCAACAGACAATCCTATTCTGCCATGGATTAAACGTAGAGCCTTTGCTATATCGGCAATAATAAATGCGTAACACACCATGACACCTCCAGTACAGTATGTCACCGGATCACATGCGCTGCCGGGAGAAAAAAAAAGAGGAAAATCAAAACAACTTTTGCGGTCCAAGACCTCGTTTGTGAACCGAAAGCAGCTAAATGACCATCACCGGTCCCACAGAATATTTTTAACGTAAATTTAAAAAAAAAACGGCATCTGCTCCCACTATTTCATCTTAATTGAAGCTAACTTTGTCTTTGGGCTGTGCACCTGCTAGGCATTACTTACACTGAGTGCCCTATCAAAAAGAAATGCTGCCTCATGCATTATGCCACTATCCCAGCAACTTTCACCTTAGCTCCATAGTCATTACCGGAGGTTAAGTCATTACTGAAATTATTTCACGTTATACACAGTATTGCACTGACAGGAAACAAGACACCCATCTGTCTGATGCTACAGTAATTCACTGAATGCAATGGCTACAACGTAGCCTACGACTGATCGAACAGCACATCTTAATGAGACAATTCCCAATTCCTGGCGTTCACAGAGGCATTTAACTAATCTTTTGCATACTGTAGTCAAAGTTGTTAATATTGACTTGAATGTAACTACAGTTAGTTACTAGTAGTATATAGTGTTGCACTTGATACAGTATCAATCGACAGGCCAGATATCAGCTTGCTTGTCTCGGTTCTTCGTAATAACGTAAGATAAGACAATAACAAAGCAGGGAAGCAAAACTAGCAGCAAGGAGAAAAAAAATCATAAACAAAATCTAAGAATCTTAAAACGATTTTCTCTCATTCAATCCACCACACTAAATCACAATGCAATGTTATTGAGAGACAATGCAAATTAGGTATTCCTTAGCAGCTATATAAAGCTGAACAGCAGCCCATCTCGTATACCTTACTAAAAATGCAATACGGTGACAGACAAATACATAGAAATGTATCCAAAGGATAGAATCTGGTTCCCACAGATGGTGGTCGGCTAGGTTTTGCATTGAGTAGAATTTAGTAACGGTGCAACTTACTGATGCTGCATTTTCACAAGCCCGAAACCGCAATCTGACATCGAAACCAACGCAACACAGGACGTTACTTACTTTTTGGGAGTCCATACTGAGGATGGGTGAGTACCAAAGAGAAAGATCGCGATACAGTTTATGAAGGGGACAAGTTTCTCAGTGATGAAGACGATGTTATCTGTGCTGAACAAGGCGGAGCTCCATGGACATGCGCAGTGAATTTTTCTGCTCCTCTCCCCTCACGTCAAACTCTGAGGCGTACTCGTACGCCTTATTGATATTTATAAGCACCGATCAGACTCTGGTCGACTATCATAGGTAGACATACTGCAAAAGAGTCTTATAAAAATGTTTTACCATGAGCGATATTTAATTCAATCATAAATGTTTACCGTTAAGACCCTCACTTTGCCCACAGATTTAACCCGTTAGCATTTGTGGTCAAAATGAGTTGGGTGGGTTCACTTACCTTACTTTTACTGAAATTAATTGATATTCAAAAGCAAAACTCCAAATTTATGTATTTCCCTTTAAAACTACATTAAACCTATGTCTATACTGGCGTTTAAACCTGTAACGTTTTAAAGAAAACTGAAAGGAGTATTAAAGCCAGCCATAATGCATACATTTATACATCTGCTACATTATTTTTATAATGTTGGGAACGATTTTTTACAGGAAAGTTAGAAAATGCATAGCTACTTATCATTTTAAGTTTTTGCTTAATCTGAGTAGGAGAAAGATTGAATATATGACGGATTGTACAAAGAAATCATGCGTCGTATTATGCTATCGGTTTAATAACACACAGCTTCTCATTAGCTACAGATAGAAGAAGCACACTGTTGTGGTTTTAAATTAATCTGATAAATATAATCACAGTTGAACGTAAAATAAAAATCTACATTCACAGGTTTGTTCACATTAAAGTAAAAACAGGGTTGTGACATTTTAGCACCGCTTCATGGAACTGTAAAAACGAGGACGGGCGCCTTCCTGTGGTGTTTAAGTAAAATAACAAATATCCTGACAGTCTGGAGTCTTCATCCTTGGTCCTGGAAATCCGATTATTTTCTGCCTTTCGGTGCAGTACTGAGCTCTCGTTTGCGTAACGTACTGTACATTTTGGTTGACATAATGTGTTTAATCAGACCTCCTCAGGGATTTCAGATAAGAATTAGACGGATCAACCGGATACCGAGAAAAGAGAATAATTCAAACCAGAACCTGAGACAGGGTTATCGAACACAACTTCAAATTATGAAGTACCAAGCTAATCTAAAATATTGTCAGTGCTGAACGGAACTCGAAGTGTCAAGTTCCTGGTACTCTGTCTCCAACAATGGAGACACCAAATCATTTAGGTTTTATATCTGTGCCAAAGATTGTGTCAAACGTGATTAGCAAAACCACTGTTTTGGTTCAATTAAATGATTAAGAACGCAAGTCCGAATGAAAACTAAACACTATGTTGCATTTCTGGACCAGACTGGAGACTGACATCATTTATATATACACACTGTATTGATAAAAATAAGGAGTCAAAAGTAATTCAAGTTTTCATTGACTCTCTGTTATTGAACAGGCTAAAATTGGGGATACTGTATATATTGCACAAGGGAATTAACTCTATATAGTAACAGATGTTCTCATATTAAAAGTATACCTGTAGTGTGTAGCTTGGTATTCTTTAAATATACTACATCTTTACTAATCCCGCTTTCTAGATCGGAGTAATTTGTTAAAAAATGATCATTTTGGTTTGTTTTTAATATTAACAATCATTGACAGCAAAGCTAAACTATGAGAAACAGTGATATTTTCCGTCGTATGCCAAAAAGGAAAGACACGAGTCACACCTACCTGTTGCCCTGTTCATTCGTTTATACCTCCTAAAATTGCCCCCTCCTGCATCACTAGAAACTGACTGCAGAAATCTTTGCTGCATAGCATCACTGCAAAAGTCTAATTCCATATTTAATGTACCATCCGTGCGCAGGAAGATTTCAACACTAGAGGGAGCATTTTGACAGGAAACGGGACTACAAGCTCTCGCGATACAGGACCTCTGGTTGCTGGGTTACGGAGGAAGTGTTCGCAGAAAAGGCTGATCAACGATTACATCAAGACGATTTACAGAAACAAATAGGTATTTTACTTTTTCCTAAGCACTTTTAAAATGCTTCGCTTCGAAGCATTTAAGCTTTGCTGCTTTTCTTAATTCCCTAGAAATCTTAAATCATTTTTTACAACCAGACCTAAGAGGATAACGTTACAGTTGTGTTGCTATGGTATAATCTATCTGTCACCACGCATTAAGGGCTAAACTAAACTCAACTGTTTTGTGCTTTTCACAGGCTGAGAAGAAATATTGTTTTTGCATGCGGGTTTCTACAAAGATGAAGATTTGTCTTCAAATGTACCTACACATTGTACAGACTTTTTTGTTATGAATTCTAGTGATTTGTCTTTGTGCGTCTATTTCATATAAATTGAAGACAGAATGTTCTCTGTTTCAATTAACCTCGCATGTTTATAGACATTTTAACTGCTATGAATTAAACTTGATAGTCATGAAACACATGGCGAATGAAACTAACTCGAATTTTTGGGAAAAAGGAGTAATATGTGCGTCTCTTTGTGACGTTAATTGTTATGTACATAACTAAAGAGAAACCAAGTAATATTATTAAATAATTTAATAAAATAATAATAAAAACTTTATTTTATGTAACGCCTTTAAAAGCCTTCTTAAAGCGGCTTACAAAATGACAACAACAACAATAAAAAAATACACAAGATAAGCAGGATGACAATATACAGTTAGAGGAGACAGTAGATGTTTGTACTGAATACAGTAGGAGCAGAGGTGTAAATAAAGAACAGAACCAGTTCAGTAAATGCTCTTCTAAAGAAGAAGTTTTTGAGTCTGGATTTGAAGGAGTTGAGAAAAGATGACTCTCTGAGATCCTTGTGGAGAGAGTTCCAGAGTTTAGGGGCTTAACAGGAGAAGTCCCTGTCATCCCTAGAGTGTAGACAGGCTTGGGGGGACAGTTAGGAGACCAGAGTCAGAAGAAGGTTGTGAGGTGGGGAGTAGAGAGATAATAGTTCAGACAGGGACTGAGGTGCCAAGCCATGCAGAGTCTGATAGGTGAGCATGAGGATTTTGAAGTCGGCACGAAACTTGACAGGAAGCCAGTGCAAGGACTCCAGGATAGGAGTAATGTGATCACTTGCACTAGACCTGGTCAGGATTCTGGCTGCTGAACTTGTTAATATAAGTGTACAGTAAACTTGTATTAATAAGTAGCAGGCCAATGTCATATCATCACACTTTTGTATATGCGTGTCGTCACGGTCTGTGGCCTCATCTCTTCCTGCAGCTGTTGGAAGTCAAACATGGCAACTCAGAGGCCACCTTCAGGGCGCCCGATGAGTCGGGGTGGGCCAGCGCCGGGCCCTGGAAGACCACCTACTGCAGTCAGACCCCCAGCGACAGCCATCCGAGTGGGGACTGGGGTGAGAAATCAGATCTCCCCACCGCTGGTCGCAGCCATGACACCACATTGTCTCTGCAGAACATTGGCAGTGTGTTTGAAGACAACGACATTTAGTACCGGGAATGCTTACTCTTCAGCTTCAATATCGTTCATGTGTCGTGGAAAAATGTCATGGAAAATAGTGGAATGATCACACCTCAAAGTGAAAGAGAAAAAAGTCACTGTTTAAAATTAGGATGTCGTCTTCGTTTCAGATTGTAACACAAAGTTTAAAATTTAGTAAAGCTAGGTGATAATCTATTTATTGGTAATGTTAAGTGCAGTTTTCTACACTTATTTTTAATTGTTCTGTAAAAGTTGACAAGCCTTGGTTTTGTCATTTGATTTGTTTTTGGTAATTAAGAAATGCACATCTGCCTCGCATAAAAATGCATAATAAAGGTCCTAATCGGGGTAGGTCACATAGGTAACAGAGTAGGTATTAGACTTATCTGGACAATTAAACTTGGCCGTTTAGTAAGTAGTTAGATGATGCTCTTGTTGGTAGGGACGCAGCTATGCACGGTGTTTTTATGCAGTATATTGCATCCTTAAGTGAACTTCATGAACATGTTACAGGTCCCCCCTGGAACTGGACGCCCAGGGACCCGTGGAGGCCCTATAGTAAACCCAGGCTTGCTTTCTGCTCCTATCAAAGTAGCGGACCGGCCAGTCACCCAGCAAGGCCTGAGTGGCATGAAGACTGGGATGAAAGGTATCTTCTTATCCTATGCTGGCCGGCTAGTAACTTAAAAAAAATCACAACTCTGACGAATACAAAAAGGTTTTGATTTCTTCTTCATTTAAAAACTTTGGATGAAGTGTTTGATACCCTCTATTTTGATATTACCTTCATATCATGTCAGCAACAAGAACACTGATAGATTAAGCGGAATGCTGATTCCCCAGCATTCTTTACAACTGCCCTTTGTAAACTGATATCCACAGATTAAGTAGAGTTAAATGTCTTTCTGCTTGATACAACTGTTGTTCTACATAGCTGACATATCCTGGTGTATTTCCTTCCAGGTGTAACAGATAAACCTTGAATGTATAACTGTAGTACATCACATTGAAAATCCATCCCCAAGTCCAAGTTTCTGTAGTGCATTTGTATATTTGATTTAATACAAAGGCTTTAAATACACTGTGCAGTCCGGACTGAATGTGTTGCTGAATAATTTTTAACATGTTTTTCATTTTTAGGACCACAGAGGCAAATCTTAGACAAATCATATTATCTTGGACTTCTCAGGTATACAAAAACAGAGTGCTATTACATTTTACAAATAATGTTCCTTCACAAAAAATGCTTGGAAAATGATTTGTTTTATTTTTTGTCCTGACAGGAGTAAAATAAATGAACTTACAACTGAGACTGGTAAACTGCAAAAGGAAATAGACACTTTCAATCAGGAGAATTCTGTCTATCTGTCATATGAAAAAAGGTTTGTACCACATCGTGTAATCTGGATCCTCTTAAAACACAGATCAAGGTTTTTTATTTCAAAGCATTAGACACACTGATGTTTGTGGTTGGCATTTCCCTAACTCTCTGATTAATTCCTTTGATTAATCATTATCACTTCACTGTGCATGTTGACTCTTCTTTAATTTTTCTGCTTCAAACTCAAATTCTGTTCTTAAAGCAAACAACTTTCCACTACTTTCTCTTGTGCATTGTTATTAGTGGGAAACCTCTAATAACCTCTAACCTCTTTCAAAATTATTCAAAAAATGTTTTGTAAAACATTGCCAAGTTCATCATGTCAAAAGCAACATGAATTCAGCAGTTTCAAATATTTTTAATGGGTGTTAATCTCAAAGAGTAAGGGATGATGAGAGAACAAGTAAGAGTATTTTCTTTTCCAAAATATCTCATTTACTTTTGCTGAGTGTACCTTTAAACCCTATGGGACATCCATTAGTTTGTGTAAGAGAGCATATTCAATTCTTTTGAAATATTGAATCGAAATCACTAATTATTGAAACTTTCTTTACAGAGCTGAAGCTCTTGCCTCTGAAATTAAGGATATGCAAGGACAACTGGCAGATTATAACATGGTAACTGCTGGTTACAATGGTTTTTGTCATCTTAGCTTTTCCTTAAAGCAGAATAATTTTTATCATTTGTCTTTTTACTTTGCCAATCTCTATGTGATCGTGATACATAGTCAGTCCGTGATTTTCTTTAGTCCAGATTCCCGTAATTATACCATTCCAATCTTATTGTGAGATCACTCATAATCTCTCACTCACTCAGGCCATACGAGAAAAGAAAATAAAAGGTTTAAAAATGAGAGGAGGCTTTTTTGCCCTTACAGCTTCTTTGAGTGCTAATATCTAATTAACCTCAAGGTATTTCCCGAAAGAAGGTAAGGTATAATCTTTGACTTCCTCAAACCTTAGTGTACAAATGCCTCCTTTTTCAGTTTTAAATGCACTCCCCCTTAGTTTCTCTTTGTGTCTTCTGGTTTGTGTTTCACTTAAGAAGGCCATTGATTTGGCTTATTCAGTTACAGGATTTTCTACACCTGCATCAGGTATCTGTTTATGTGCTACATGCTCAGTTGCTAATATGTTAAGTAGTTTCTGGAGATAATTTCTATGCATTTAAAAAAAGTGTTTACAATTTAATGATGGTTTAGAAAGTGACTACATTCGAACAATTTATGCTTCTTCAGAATTAGCATGATTACACATTAGTGAGGACAGCAATATTGCAGTTTTCTGGTCAGGATATTTTATATTAATTCTCAGGGTTGCGTATGTGTGTTGTAATGTGTTAATGTATATACTATAATAGTAGACACATTTTGTATCAGTGCTCTCTACTGATCAGTGCTGCTCTTCTTTCACTAGAAACTAAGTTAATATAATTACATGTAATGTAAACTTTACATTGAGTAACTGAATGATCAATATTTTTTAAAGAAAAAAAACTATCTTTATCATATACTGTATATTAATCTCTATATATTGTGGAATCATGAAAAACAATCTGTTATTATGTTTTTCTGTTTTTACACTAACAAGGTTGTAGCTTCAAGCAACATTATCATAATTTATTAATTGTTTTGTATTTCTGTCAACTTTTAGCTTGTGGACAAACTAAACACCAACACTGAGATGGATGAAGTGATAAATGACTTTAATATGGTATGTAAATTCAATTTGCATAGTAACCTTGTAATTTATAGGAAGTGCCATCCAAAGATCCCATATTGCCGTTTATAAAAGTAGGAGTATCAATCCCACTGTACTTCCTAAATTTCACAATGAACTTGCACAATCTGGCATCCCTAAGGTCCCCCCTTTGATTCAGTTGCTGAAGCAATTTCTGTATGTGATATGCTGTGTAGTAGGACTCCAGAAACAGTGGTGTCAAGCACTTCGTAAATACTAGGAATCTGTAAAATTAATAAAAGTCTATAAACTTGACATAAAAGTGAGGCAAGAAAATAACCAGGTTTATTTAACATTCCAGTAGATATTTTAAACAAGCATAAATATATCAATGCATAAAATAGAAAACTCATTTTAACTCAAATTATTTTTTTTACAGCTTAGAGGACAAAATGATCGAGAAGCCCAAAGTATTGATGTCATCTTCACAGAGAGACGTGAGTAAGTATTGTATATATATTATATATACTAAAATATAACTGTAAAGCATATTTTTAGACTGTTGGTACAAGGTTTCACTTTATCATTTTACTACCGTGCCTGCCTTTCAAGCAGTAGAGTAATATAGGAAGTAATTATTCTTTATGTGGTTTCTCTTGCATGTAAGTCAAGTTTGTAACATCTAATGTAATTACTGCAAAAAAATAAAATGACGTGTACTCTTGTCCACTCATATTTAGCTTGTGACTTTGGACAGACCAGTGACATTCACCACTCTAACTAGATTATATGAAGATATATATTTAAGCAAGTATGATGGAGCAGAATTTTTAGATCACCTAATTTTAGCCAACATGTTTTAATCCATGGCTTCAGCTACTCAAGATACAGATGCCCTGGATATTTAGCTGTGTTGAAAACTAATGCAGTTTGCTTGTATATTAAGCTGACATGCGAGGAACAGCTGTTCTGCTGCCTTTGCTGTTGAAAGTAAAAGGGAATGCTTTGGGAATGAGATACTTCTCATTTAATTGTATTGTTAAACATATATATTAAGAATCTCTTAATTTATTAACTAGCATTAAAGATTTGATCATTTTGTTGTATAAAGGTACAGGCTGACAAAATTGAGTTGAAATATTTAGTAAATTTAATTTGTACATTTCACATTCAAAAATAAAAATAGTTCCCTGATTTAACTACAAACTTCCCTGACAGCGAAACATGTCCATACTTTATACATTAAATTTACATTGATAAAAATATCAGCCATTAACATGTTAATTTTTTAAAAATTGAATAAAATAACTTTAAACCTTTCCCATTTGTAGGGTAAGAGACATGTCAAAAGTCAGTACAGGATACTCAATATCAAAATGACATTGTGGACAAAAGCAGTAGTAAAAACTGTAAACTGAACAATAATTCTGTATTTAATATTATTACTTTTTTTGCTACTTGCTTAGGCCATCAACTAATGGTATTCACTTCCGAATGTGAATACTATAAAGGTTTTTTTAAAACTTTTTTTTGAAAGTATCATAAACAGCCGAACAGTTATTATTTTGTTAAAGCAGAAACCAACAGTAGACAAGCTTCATTACTTATAAATGATTCCCTTAAAAGCAATGGATTATGTCCTTGAAACCAGAATGAACAGATAATCTACATAAAGGCAATTGTTTAGATCTATTTGAAGGTTGCAGCAGCAGATACTATACTTTCATATAATGCATTACCAATATAAGCAAAATAACTGTTGCTGTCTTACATAAATGCATGTGTCATTGGATTTAATTGACTTATGACTTATTTCTCAGACCACCTTATTAGACCTTAGAAATATTTCTCAGACCACCTTATTTAATTAAATGTCATTCATGTATTTGCACTTTCTTCAAAATCAGCTGTTTCTATATACCCATCCTCAATGAATCCATCTTCGTCATCAGCTGCAGTTTTTGAGTCTTGTGTATTGGTGGTCAGCTGTGCTGTGTCCATGCCGAAATGAGAATAGTGACTTGTGTTGAAGAGCTCGGGGTCTTCCTCCCGCAGTCTCTGGTGCCGGTAGTTGAAGAACAGCTTGTACCATGAGGGAGACTTCACAGCACACGCTATGACCACTGACGTGCTCAGAGCTATTAACACCACACCCAGGAGAAAGTGCCAGCTGTTTCCAACAGGTGGATGGTCTGTCCCCATATAGCAGAAGCAAGAAAAAAAACTTTTATTTCTATATACCACACACTGCTACTGACCTATGAATCACTAACCCACCAATGAGTTTGCGTTAGTGCTCAGATAAATTGAAAATATGTTCTCTTATGAGCAAAATTGATCATACTAAAAATCCGAAAACAATAAATGAAGTTAGCTTGAACAATCTAACTGAGATTTAGGTATACGGTTTGTGACAATAAACTGATATACTCTTTTTTTACATCAAAAACCTTTTACACTAGTGTGTATGCTTTTCAGTATAGATTTAAGTAATACAAACAAATGCAAATACTCAAAAACTCAATCTACAATAGGGTGTAACAGTTTTGCCACTTCTTCTAGCTAATATTTCCAGCTAATGGTTGCAGAGGTCTGTGGAGCATTGTAAAATCATAACTTTAAGAAGGAAACACCACTCTACCAATTCCTAGAAACAGGACATTGTTTTCAGCAACAGTGTCATTCAAACATTATGTAGAAGCAACAGAATTTCTCTGGGAACCATTTAGAGTGGAAACTGGTGAAAGCTGTGAAACTGGTGAAAGGTTAGCCCTAGAAAAGTAAGGTAGATAAGCCAAACGGTGTTTGTTGTCTTGTTTATAACATGTCTTATGGATTTTGGTGGGCTGTAGTAGCCTCTCAAATAGTTTTGAAACTTGTTATAGGTTTATGACTTGAGTTTTTAAAGTGATGTGTTATCTTAAGGGTACAGTACCTGATGGTTTCTTGTTGCTCCCAGTGGTGGCATATAGCGAAGAAAAAGGTGATGGGTGCACACTGGTGCCTGATCTGAGCGGGGTGTTTGGGAATGGAGTTGTTTTTATTTCAGTGGACTTGTTGACTGAACACAAAGTGTTGTTCTCCAGCAGAATTCCAATTCTCATTCCTGCAAGTTCTTTTGGGTTTACACATGTGGTTGAGTTCTGGTTTTCTGAAATAAGAAAAGAACGGAGGAAGAACCATAACTTTATACACCACAGTGGTAGTTTTGAACATAATCAAACCCACTGTTGAGGGAGATGCCTTTACCCTTCATCTTAATTAGTATCTGATCAAACTGTTTCTGATCATTTGGCTTCACCAAAGGGTCTAACAATCATCCATGCATCTTTATAAACAGATCTTGTCTCAGAGGTTTTGTACAAATGCTAGATAGACCATAATTTTGTACATACAGGCATTCTTTGTGGTGGAATTTAAACTTTAAACTGTGCACATGATCTGTAATTATTCAAATAAACAGCTCAAATTAATTGAAATCAAGATGTCAAAATGTTTTCTGAGTTTAAGCTTAATATGGTAATTATTTATTGATTTCAAATTTCAGTATACTGTCAAAAGTTATAAAACATCAGTATTAAGTGCTGTAGATGAATGTTTAAAGTGATGCAAAATGAATAGAGAGAATATTGTATTCAATATGATGTTCCATATGGATTATTTTAAAAGTAGGCTTCGTCCATGTTCTTCATTAGAGCAAATGCAAATAAGTTCCCATAATTTCCTGATTTTGTGTTTGATTATTCTTATATTGATATAATGATGTTTGTGACTTGCAGCAGATAGGCTTTTTAGAAAAGGTTAGTAAAGATTCATTATGGAACCAAGAACAGACTTAAAGACTTAGATTTTATGATAGAATTCTGTTTGATTTGGTAATGCTCATTTCTGAAAAACAATTATTGAATTATTGGTGGAAAGAATGTTGTTAGCAATATTGCCAGTAGGTGGTGTCTGTTCATCACTAGCACACTATTAGTAATTGATGCTGCCCTTTGGAGTGCACTATGCTCTTTGCGACAGTGGACTTGCAAGCTTGCATTAGCAGGTGTGATGAATGTTTTGTACACTGCAAACAGACTAATGTTCTACTCTGTGGAGTTCCTTGCTGACTGTTTTCGATGAAACAGGCTCTTTTCACTGCAGGTTAGAATCTGTAGTCAATTGATGTGCAGTTGCTCACTTTTTTTCTTGTTCTTTGACTTAATACTCACATCACCATGCTGATGATGTCTTTCCCTCAGAGTTCCATGCTGATGTTACCTTAGACACTGTTGCTCTTGAAGCTGTCTTGATCACTGACTTTGCTGCCAAATACACCCCAATAATCACTCCTCTTTCACGGTCACTCTTGCTTCGATGTATTGCCTATAACCATTCTTGCATGATTATAGGCAATCAAGCCTGTCTAACATTTTTGTATGTGACTCAAAGCATGCTTCATGTTGAGCAGCAGCCACATCATTCTGGGGAATATGGTTCAAACAAAGATCTCCATTTTGTCTGATCTAATGCCTTCTTACAATAGTTATACTGGTAAACTGGTTATACATTGACCTTTATACATTGTTTGGTCTCCTACCTGTACCATTATGAATTCCCGTTTTCATTTCATTACAGTTATCTTCTATGAGGCAAAAAACACGTCTGCATTTAAAACCACCTGGCATTCTAATATTTTTATCTAAGGAATGTGATTTCTTACTCTAATATGGACCACCAAAATATACGTAACATAATTTCCATGTGGTAAATTAGAGTCTGGTGCATTTGATTGGTACAGCACCTTTTATACAACCACCCTTAAGCTGCAAACATAATGTAAAATTGGGGGTTTTCAAGGGGTATATTTAAGTGAAGATCACTTCAGATGAAAACCTATGTTAATTAAAATTAAATGTGACATCTCAGTCTGTTTAATTCATATTATTTTTAAATTGTTACATTGTATCTCAATGCTTTATAGATTTACTATCACTACAAAATAAGCAAGAAGTTGTAACAGGTAGTGGTTGTAGAAATACATTATAAAAAATAAATAATGTAACCAAAATATGAATATTATTTAAATACACAAATACATTAGGTTTTTGTGTATTTAGGTTTTAGGTTTATTTCCTTTTCATTATTAATGTAGTTAATTTAATTGGTTCACAAAAAGGGCAGAAAAGCAGCAGATCAGAATCAAGTTAATCTCTTACCTATCTTGACAGTGTGTTTTTTTAGCTGTCTCAGTTGCCCTATCAGTTTGCAAGTGCAGTTCCAGGGATTATCCTCCAGATTGACAGTGGCTTGTTGTAGGGTTGTGAATGTGCCTTCTTCAAGAGACTCAAGTCTGTTGCCTTGCAGGGACAGAATCTTTAGGCTGGTTAAATTGGCAAAAACCTCTGCCTTCAGAGACCTTAACTGATTATGGCAAAGGTATAATTCTTGTAATTTGTCCAGGCCAGTAAAAGCTTTTGGTTCAATTCTACTGATGCTGTTGTAAGCAATATTGAGGATCTTTAACTCAGACAGGCTGTCAAATACGTGGCCAGGCAAAGCTGATATATTATTATTGTTGAGATACAGTTCTGTTAATTTTGAATATTTTTTCAGAGTTTCAATGTCTTGTATCTTTATGACAATGTTATTATAGCTCACATTTAGCTTTGTAATATTCCAGAAATCCTTGTCAGGAATGGATGTAAGTGTTCCATTGCTAGAGTCATCTTTCTGTAAAATAAAGAAAAAATATTTGAAGTGTATTATTAAAGCTTTTTATATTATTTTCTTGTTATTCTTGAAAATTATATGCAGTTTGTGTAATTCTGGAATTGTTAAAAATGGTAAATTATGAATTCACTGTATAATAGCAAAAACTGGTACTAGGGATCAGATATATTTGTATCTTATGTAAAAAATACTTGAAGTTGCTTAGGCATGTTTAAATAATTTACTGCAGTATCTTGTATTATTTTGTTTCTCAATAAATTCAGCTGTACCGTGTCTTTTAATGTTTTTGGCACTTCATATCTGAAAAGCATTTATCAGATAGTAAATCAAATTGTTTCATTTGTGTCTTGCCAGACTAGTAAATTAGATTATTCAGATTTTACTGAAAATTGCAGAGAATACATTTTAGTTTGTGGACTTTCTTAATCACAAACACTGAAAATACAATAGCTTCTGATACATATGGTATGTTTAATATACAACACAATAGGTTTACGTTTAATATGCACCACAATGTTGTTAAGCATTAATATGACAATGGATTAATAATCTCCAGTTTATCTGAAAAACAGTTAGTTAAGTACACCCTGCAACTTACGATTCCAACAGCAGATCCAAAAGTCCCAAACATATATCCCATCAATGCAAACTGCAGGTAGGCGGCAGCCATAGTTGTTCCTTTTGCTGAAATATGTAGTCTTAATTTTATTTCTTGTACAGCTGCAGCAGAGTAATATAAAATAACAAATTATAATTATCCAATAAAAATCTTTCTCTTTTTTGCTTACAAAATGGTAGATGTCCAGTGTGTTAAAAGTGTTTTGCGCTTTGTGTATTTCCAGCATTTACCAACCACATTATGACGTATTTATAAAGGACGTATGTACTCTGAAGGATCGCTTCTTTCTCTAAGTCTAACAGCTTTCCTGTTGCTTGTTATCTTCCAACATGTCTGTGCATACTCCTTATTCTGTGGTTAAGCATTGTCAGCAACAACAGTAAATATACACATGACATGAGTTGGCTGGTGTGAAGCTCACAGTTTTAACTGCTTGCAAAACACTGCTGGAGTTTAAAGTCTAGAGAAAATTATGTGAAGGCCTTACTTTTTACAAACAACAAACAGATCAACAAATTCTGTACAATACAATGTTGTTGACTCAGCCAGTAATAATAGATAATACTTATGTTCATGAATAGTTATTATGTGCTTTGTAGAATTATTTCCTTTCTATTAACAAAATAAATATAACCTAGTAGTTTTCTGCATTAAATTCAGTTGAACATAGGCATTCATTTTTATATTGTTAAATTTGAATTTAAATTTATCATCAGAATGTTCCTTCTTTTAAATACTGTAAGTCCTAAGATTAATGATATTTCACCAGTCTTCTTGTTGATTTTATTATTTTAGGTAGGATAAGGTATTTAAAGAAGGATAAACATTATTATCTTAATTTAGCAGGACTGACCACCATATAAATGGTGGAAACCCAAAATACAGTTTTTCATTAAACTAAAGAGGCCTTTATTAGTATTTTTCTCCATAAGCCTAATTAAGTAACTATAATTCTCACACAGAAAAAAGCTGGTATGAGAAACTATCCCAGCAACCAATTGTAATAAATGTAATGCATGTTATACTTCAGTGCTAACATGAACTTCTTCCGCTAAAAATATGCAGTCTAAAGTTAAGAATAAAAATATTAAAAATTCAAATCTTCTGGCATTTCAAAATAAAGTAATTCCTTTTATTATTTAATTTGATTTGATAGATGTGCCTATGATTTAAAGAGCATTTCATTACATACCTGGAAATAAATAAAGATGAAGGATCTTAGTTGTTATTGTAATTCTCCATGGAAGTTTCAAATGCTCAAGCTCTGAAAGTGACTGCATAGAGACCTTTGAACTAGATAATAAAAAGTTTTTTTAAATGGTAGCTAAAGATTGACTACTGTTTTTGTAGGTGTCACATATGAGTAAGTTTTATCAAGCTATTGCTCTCATTTGAGTTTTCAAAGAAGCCTATTTGAAATGGGCTTTTGACCTATTGTAAAATCATGTTAAGTGTTGTTTTATCATTTAAATATGTTAATGTGGAGAATACATATGGAAATTTTTGTTCGATACACAGTATTCAATTGGAGGAAATTACAGTGCTATGTTGATGCGTAAAAATATATATCCTGTAAACACAAAAGAAAAAGAAAATGAAAAGCATGTTGAAATAGAAAATGTGCAGTGTCTTGTGATCTATTGCTGTTGTATAATTTGTGTAATATATTTTTTATTTGACTCAGAATAGAAGTTAGCTATTATTAAAAATTACCATCTACTGTATGTACTGTATTCCCCATTTTACCCATGTTCTTTTAGGTAGTATGATAGTATAGTATTAGTGTTGGGTGTGCAGTTGTTAGCAGTATTGCTTCGCAGTGCTGAGGCCCTGTGCTCAATTCTGGAACTGGGGTGCATTCTGCAGGGAGTTTATTATGTTCTCCCCTGGAAGAGTAATTAGCTTCTTGGAATACCCCTATGTGTGTGTATGAGTGTGTGCGTGTCTGTGTGTGCCCTGTAATGGACTGGCATCCCATCCAAGGTGTCCCTGCCTTGCGCACTTTGCTTTTAGGGATAGGGTCCAGCTCCCCCACAACCCTGAAGCAGATGAAAATGGATGAATAGAAGGATTACAGTTTCAACATTAGTGTTATAAATAATAAGAAAAATATTAATGTTAAGAAAAATATTAATGTTCTAGCCAATGAGTATAAACACGTCTGCAGAAATTTCATCAGTCTTTTCATCAGTCTTTTCATCAGTATTGACTTATCTTTTTAAACACATTAGCTTAGATTACTACATTCTTATGTATGTTTTGCACCGGGGGAAAATGATAGAAGATTGGAAGCTAATAAATGAAACTTGGTGCTATGCTATTGCTTTGGGCTCAACAGTGTTCAGACTGTGAACCCAGATCTTATTTAGCACTTTTAGTACGAGTCTGACTACTAAGTACAATTATTACTGATTAATCTGTACAGTCTTTATACAATGTTTCATTTTAAGGTATTCTCTTTAAAAAAATAACCCACTGTCTCCGTTGTCATTTCAGAAAGGAAGAGATGATACAAGCTGTGGAAGAGGAAATTGAACGGGAGAAGCAAACTGCTGACAATATCATTAAAAAAATGTCTCTAGAGAAGCAAACCAAGTATGCAGAAATGAAAACTAGAAATGAGGAGCTGCTCCAGGTCTGTTATATGTAATTGAGTAAAGTAAAAAAAAGAGCTGTTATTACAGTTTGTTAATTTGTTAAAATGTTTACTTGAACTGAAAGTTCACAAGTCAAAACCTGACCTTTCCACTTTTATTTCTAAAACTATTAGTGTAACTTTACATACTGAAATATATGTCATGCGTGGTTAGGTGCATTAATTAACTTTATGAAATGATTAAGCATTTTCAATTGTATACAGTACAATGGTTCACTGTCACAAAATAATTATTTTATTAATACTTTAATTAATTGATTTTTTTTTAAAGATAGCCGTTATTAGTGTTTATATCCTTCCTGATTCTGCTGAGAAGCTTTAATGTGTTTTTTATATCTGTCTAGATACATTTTGAATGTAACATAATATTTATAAATGCTTTACCATTTACTGTGCAGGAACTAGATGCCCTTCAGCAGGAACTTGATGCACTCATTACAAGGAAGGAGACTTTGGAAGCAGTGAGTTTAATGTTCCCTTAAGGGTTAATTTGCAGAACTGTCCTTCTTATAAGCTTAACTGCTTTCCCCTGATTTGTTGAGAGAAAAATAAAAATCTAAAACTTCTAAAAAGAAAAGGAAAAACTATGGAATAACATGACTTGTAGTGAACACGTCTTCGCTTTATGCTAGCTAGCAAGGCTACATACAGTACCCTCAGTTGGATCCTTATGTTAGCCGGTAGCAGTATGGGGTAGTGGCCAGGACGTAGAACGCTTGGGTCAAAACCCAAGTGGAGAATACTATTGCACCCTTGAGTAAAGTACTTAACACACATTATTTCACAGTATTTTTCAGCTGCAGAAATGGGTACAAATGCAAGTCACTTTGTATAAAGTCCAGTACTAATAAGGAATAATTAATAATGCTGATATCTGATGATTGTCAAGTGCTTGAGGGTGTAACCCTGTAATATTTTAGAGTTGCTTAAAAGATGCAAAGGCTAAGGACTTTCAAAATTGATTCAGTGAAAACTTGTAAATACATTTTTTCTTTAATGCATTTATTTAATTAATCATTGTAATTGGGTGACCCAATAGTGATCAAAGTCCTTGAGCTGCTCACATTGGTTTGATGTAATAATACAGTTCACAGGAAATCATTAGACATGAAGACCCATTGTCACAGGCTTGCCATAGTTAAAGAGTAACAGTAAGGCACTAGTCTTACAGCAGAAATGTGGCATAATTTGAACCTTTCCATGACGTCCAGAGACCATATATGATTATTTTTAAGAAAAGATCACTTCTTTTAATTTTTTTGTTACATGTAGTGACATATGACAAAGATTAATTTGATTCACAAGTGGATTTTTGTTAAATATTTTGGTTTGTCTTTTTTTGAGAGAATTAATGTTGAGTGCATATTAAAATAAAAGCAGTACTGCTCAAGGATAAAGGGGGTAAATGTAGCTGAGAATTTGAATTGAAGGCTGTTAGGAGCATTTCTGCAGATTTCAGTCGTCATATACAGCACAGTATTGGCAGTAAGATCAGCTATTCTTAGTGATTCTAATGATCCTTTCCAACACCTTTCTATTAATTTTTCTTGTCTCAATAACACTAGAGTCTTTTTCACATTCACATGGTCAGAATTGTTTACAGTCCCAGATAACGTTAAGAATTCAGTCACATGTTAGCAATTAAATCAGATATTTCCAAGTTAAAGAGATTACTTAGTAACTTTACTCTCCTAAGAACCAATCAGAAGGACACAGATTAGCACCTGTGCTCTTGCACCAGTATACAGTATCACCACCATATAATTCTTATTTATTTTTGTTAATGGTTAAAAGCCACCCTAATAAACTGAACAAATGTAGTCATTTCACAATGTGTCTTAATGTAATACAAAGTAAATTGTGTGTTCATCAATAGTGGTGTAAAATATCTTTCCCCACACATGATGCCTTACCTACATTTCTCTTCAGGTATGGATTAGTTTATGAAAAGCAGAACAAGTCTTTCACTTCTGTATTATACAGTAAAAATGTGACTTTGTTCATTATCTGATTGAAAGTAGCAAGGGAGCTAAAGGTTTTGCTAATAGCCTTTAGTAGCGAAAATAAAATGTGGAACCCATGTGGGTTCAGACTTGTAGAAATAACAGACTTTCCATGTTAAATCATTTTGACACCAAATCTTTTTGAAAGCATCCATGCATCTAAAATTTAGATTTTTTCAGTAGGAGTAAAAGAAGGAAAAAAAACCCAGGCGATCATGTTAATTAACCTCTGGAAATCTGGAAACCTTTCACATGATTCTACATTGCCTCACATTAAATGCTTTTGAGCTTTTAACAACATGGTTTTCAGTGAACAAAGTTAATAAATCATGCTATGTGTCACCCACATCTTAGGAAAAAGTTAACTTATAATGTTACAAACTAAACTTCAGACATCCGGTTGGCACATAATGAAGTTGACATTTTGAAAAGTTTTTTATGCAATTTATTATTTTAAGTCGTTTTCTTATTAGAGAAAAAAGTACAAACTTAGGGTGGTTGTAAATGTTTTCTTCATATGCCCTATAGTGTAATGTGTAGTTTGTTCATTTACAGAACCATATGAATAGAAGAACTTTAAATATGAGAGGAGGCCATGTGGCCCAACTAGTCAGTTTGGTAGTCAGCAGCTAAATGAACCAAGAATCACATCAATTTGTTTTTAGAAGAGCACTAGTGCAGAAAATTCAACAAAGATATCTCTAGGAATTATTATGTATATAACAAGAAAGTGAAAAGAAATTGAAATGACATTTTTATACGTGTATGCTGTATGAAAGCACAAACTGACCCGTAATAAGCTCCTCAGTCCTGTGCCCACAGGATATAGCAAACTCCCAGGTGAAGCAGGAGGCGGTCTTGCTGTATGAGAAGTTGCACGAGTTGGAAATGCGCAGAGATGTAATGATTGCAGAGGACAAGAGCCTGGGTTCTCCTCAAGAGGAGAGGGAGCGGCTGCTGAAGCAGGTAAACAGCCCACTGCAAACTCACTGCGGCCTAGAGCTGCCTTCGGTATTCAGTAGCGCACTGAAGCACTTTGAGCAACATGGACAACAGTCTGCTTTTCGTTTACAGAACACAGAGATTAAGAATAAGAATGGTACAGGGAATTGAATAAAGAAACCATTTTTCAATTTTGTGATTTACGCGTTTGATTTGACAGCTGTTCGGGCAGTATTTCAAACCATAACAGGAAAGGCAAGTGTTTTCTTATCCCCTTTAAGGATTATAGTTAGATCATTATTTTATATATCCATTTACATTTTTTATATCTGGGAAGAAAATGTCAAAATTCAGTCCTACATGTGTAGATTGGTTGACCTTCTGAAAGCAAATAAAGAGGAGTTAACTAGTCATGTTAAAAGTGAGGTAATAAGAAATTGCTGTTACTGTAATTATCTTTATCTAAATATGAATTAATAATTATTTAAAATGTAACCATTTACCCCAGGGACTAGGAAAATCAACTTTCTATTGGTCTCTGTAAATTATTATTATTTTGCAGCTTAAAAACACTTTTTTTTTATTCTTTTTTCTTTCCCTGTTTAACTTTTTTTTCTGCCCAGGTTAAAGAAGATAACCAAGAAATAGCAAGCATGGAAAGACAGTAAGAATACATATTATTTAATATGTTTCATGACATAATATGGGAAGAGTTTTTTGAATATTTACTGTACTTCTTCAGCTTGAGCTCCTTTTATGTGCTTTCTTTTCTTCTGTTTGCCTCTGTCTAAAAACACAATAAAGACTGGCTAAAAAGTGTATCAGTGCAACATGCAAAGTTACTGTATCACTTATTGCATCGTTATTTTAAACTATGGTGCTGACTACTTGGTCTTTAAACATGGCATAGTTCATAAGATTGTGGACGTTAACTGGTTAAATTGTTGGGTTTGCACAGTCCATTGTGAAAGAAGTGTATGGATGTAAAGCACCTCAGGAGCTTTTTGGAATAAAAAACACTAAACAAATGCAAGGAATAAATAAATTATGTTTCTTAGGTAATTTAATTTAAAATGGTATATTGTGCATAGAAGTGGTATGCTGTACCAATCTTGCTGTTTTACATGTTTATTTTAGGCTAACTGAAATACGAGAGAAAATGAGTCAAGTAAATGAAGATATGCGACAAATTGAAAATGATATGGAAGAACATCAAGGTACAGTAAGAAATCTTGGAGCAGAATTCCTTAAACATTTTGATGTCTAATGATTTATATGATGACACATATCCTTTAGGAAGGAAAGTCAGAGGGTGGCTCACAGCCAAAGGCAGACCAGTATGTTCCGATCTTATCAGCGCAATAATATTTTGGGGAGGGGATTGACAATGTTTTTTTAAGACGTTTGTCGAAGAATGGATTATAAATCCACACACCAGATATTATTCTGGATGCCATCCAAGGACTGCAGCATAAATATTTTAAAGCATTCTGTGGTATCAAAGTTTTTCTTCTGAGAAAAAGCCAGGTTTGCAATTATGATGTCATCAGTGGGAATTATAAATATATACTTATATAATGTTAAGTTAGCTATTTCGTTCAAAATATAGATTTATGAATTCATATTTTACCTCATTTAAACTGCAGGCAGAAATGAGTCTGTGGGTGTTTGATGGGACACTTGATATATGCTCTTCATCTTCTTGGCATTTTGACTCAGAGGACAGTGTATTTTGCTGAGAATCCTCTGGCTATATGACTTTCAGTAAGATGTATTGTTTCTAAATTTTGCTGAAATTTCTGTAGCTTATGGCGGACTACATACAAAGGTCTTTACCACAAATTTTGTTTCTTGTTTCTGGTTTGAGCAGTTTCAGGTTAGAAAATTAAGTTAGATGTTTTTCTTTTCTGTGCTGTCATATTTCCTTATATTACATGTCTTTATTTCTTCCTGTTTCTTTTAATCTCTATCATTCATTTGTGTGTTTTGTCATACACCTTTAGAAGGTAAGAACATCATTCTTTTGTTTTTGAAAAAGTCTAAACATATGGATTGAGCACTTTTACCTTTGTGGAAGATTAATTTAATTGTTTGGAAAGTAAATTGTACTTCAAGAGGATCCAGTGCTTAAATTACCTCTGATTTAAATTAATTTGATACAATAGACTGCAATTAATGAGAAGCACAAGCAGTGGTTAACTTGAAGATTATGATTTGTAGTGATCACCTAATTGTTATTGTTTTTTTTAAAACTGCATTTGTATTACTTTTACTGTTATTGGGTGTAATGTTAAATTAATGAAATGGTTAAATAATTTAAAAAACAACTTATTATGCTGTAAAAAAGAGACATTCAAAGCAGAGAGAGGAGTGAAAAATGACATTAGACTGCAGAATTAAAGTGAACACTGGCCAGAGTTTGGCATCTAAAGAGCCAAATGTTAATAATATAGAGTATGAGCACTTCTTTTTTACAGTGCTCATATAGAGTATGAGCACTTCTTTTTTACAGAAAAGCAAAATTCAGTCCATAAAGCATTATGTGAATTTAATACCAGTATTTAAGTGTATATGTGTATTGAAAAAAATGCTTTTCTGGTCAGTAATTGCTGATAGTCGATTGTTAGGACTTTTTATGTGGACATTTGGTACTCTTTTATGGTTTGCGTTTAGTTACACTTATGGTATATTGCTTTGCAGGTGAACGAAACCAGAAGTACAAGGAACTTAAGAAAAGAGAGGAAAACATGGACAGTGAGTAGGACAATTCATACAGTATGGAGCAGACGCAAGTCTTTAAAAGTAAACAAAGGCATTACATTTGTTGTTTTGGCAAACAGACTTTTCAAGTTTCAATTAACCTTGTTCCATTTCAAGGAACTGAAAAGTTAACATCCTAAGCATATGTTTTTTCCAAGAGGAATCACTGAAAGATTCCCAAATGACTGTGTTTGAAATATTGAAGTATTATTTTTTTTAGTTGGCAGTCACTGCTTTTGTCATATTAGTATAACTGAACTCTATTGGAAACTCTAGGTTTTTTGGAGACATTTGATGAGACTAAAGCACAGGAAGTGGAACGCAAGCAGCAAGTGGAAGCCATTATTGTTGCTCTGCTGGAACACACGAGCAGGGTAAGAATGTTATTGTATGTCGGAGGTCTCTGACCTCTTTATCTCCAAGCCTCATCAAGTACATCATCAAGCAGCATTTTAAACAACAGGGATATCTAACTCCTGCTTTATTTTTTCAGTATTGTTTTTCAAATTCTAAAACATCACCAAACTGAAAAAAGTACGTTTGGAAAAGTCTGCATGATATTGTTTAATTTTAATACTCCCAGCTAGGGAAGTCTTAGTTTTCTAAAGCATATGGAAGAGAGATGTTGTGGTATAAATGGTATAAATTAATTGTCACTTATTCCAAGAGAATGATGAATGTCTCCATCTTTATCTATTCTTATAGAGACTTTGATTTTTAAATTGAAAATACTCCAAATTAAAAAATCCAGCAGTATATCATTTATAATTATTTTTATTCCTAAATATTCATTTATTAAAGCTTGAACAATGACAAGAAGGCAAAAACCAAACATTTCTTGAAGATCCAGGGAATGATTATAGTGTACTTACTATAGTGAATGACAAATGTGTTTGTGCACTTTGCAATGTCTAAAAGGGGCAATGTTGACAGTTTTAAATGGACACAGATCACATTGGTTTGAGCAGAATGTTTAACATTCAGATCAAATGAAAACAGCTTGGCAAGAAATTGAAGACCAAGACCAATAAAGTAGTTTTCTTACTAATGCTTCCTGCATCAAGCAAAGGTGCACTATTGCTAAAATTCATGCAGAATCTGGACGACGCTTCACAGGTTTAAACAACTGTAGCCAGTTCCCATCTTCATATACTTTTTATTCAGACTATTATTGATGAAATTACAGAAAAATGTAATTTTGTGTTTAATCTTTACAAAGCATTAAACAGGTTTATTCTCACCAAGTACACACCAAACGTTAGTACACAAAGTCACCACACTGGTTGATGACATGCAGTGCCAGATCTCCCATTAGTGTCAGGTTGCAAGGCAGGACCAAAAGCACATGGTTGCATAAAGCAAGCCCATCACAGAACCGTGGAGAAAGAGACGGTTTTAGAACAGAAAATCAAATCTATCCAGCACATTATTGGGAGATACAGTGTACCAAAGAACACACACATGGGAAAAACATGGAATTTCCACAGGGGTAGAAGCATGAGGAATCAAACCTAGAAAGACCATAGAGCTGCAAGACAGCAGTGCTAACCACAATGCCACCCATTGTTTAAGTCATATAAAGCTAAAACAATTAAAGAAATATTAGTATTTTTTTAACTATCATAAAATATTTTTTCTACTAGGTAAAATATACAGATAAACAGTTAAAAGCATGGCCCTGCCATAACATACCTGGGAGTGACATCAGACGAAAGTGTAAAAAAGAATGAAACATACAGTATATGTAGATAAGAGTGTGATTATATACATAACTTCTTTAGTAGGTACAGCATTTACATTTTTTACTTGTTGATGAGCACTACTTGATGAGCATGCCATCTTATCTTTGGTTTGAATTATTTTTTTCATAATATAAATTAAAGGAGAATAAATGCTCCTGGTTTCTTTTTGAGACAATGAGACATTTTCGATTCACTTAAGTTTCATTTCAATACTAAAAACAATGGTAATATTATTAGATATGCGTGGCTTAGAATGGCATATATATAGTGTGAAAATATATACCAGAATGTTATGTTGTTGATATAATATTTTTTGCTTGTTTGTTTGCTTGTTATAGAATATGAATCGAATGAAGCAAATCTCATCTGTCACAGCCAATGAATTGAAAAACATGCAAGAGGACCTCAGCTTCAAGGAGACTGAAATGCATAAATCCCAAAACACCGCCAAAGGCTTGTCATCAGGTTAGATATAAAAGACAAGTACATCTGATTTTTTTTTATACACAACACACAGAGTCACATATTTGATGTTAGTTTTGAATAATTGTATATTGTTCTGGGATTTATTGACCAATCTAATAGCTCTTTTTGTTGAACTTTTTCTGTCTCTTGTAGGTTTATGTTCCTGGAACTATCTTTTATTTGTCCTTTTACCTATGTACATTTGCAATATACTTCTGTACACATTCTTAGTTAATAAGAATCTAAAATAATTTAAAGAGCTGCATAATACTACAATGGACTACAGTAACCTTTTTGTTCCAATACATAAAAGATGAAAAATTCATTTAGAAATTATATGCTTACAAAATGCAAGCTTTTAGAATGTATTCTTCTTTGAAGCAAAATTGATACATAAGATACTTGAATTTAAGAACAATTACAAATGAGAGGTAGCCATTCTTTTCATCTACTGCTTATGGTTCATAGTGGCTAGTTGTACTGATTATCTCACCCAGGTGTTTCTGAAAGAAGCCAAGGTATCAGTCTCCACAACATCACATCATGACTGGTCAGCTTTTTCCAGACTTCTCACCACAATTATTGTAAAGAAAAGTGTTTGAACTATAGTCTGACCCAAAATCTGACCTTCTGTATAAACCAAAGAGTAGAGAGGGAGACTTTGGATTAGCTAAATGGCAACATTGTCAATCAGTTCAGTGACTATAACATGATGGGTCTGAATCAGTTAGTGTAACGCACTAACTCACTCACAATCAATTGATGCTAGAATCAAATGGGAGTAGATGAATGAACATTTACTGCTGTAACAACTTAGCTGTGTACTGTTCTAGTCAGCAACATCTCCGCAGGACATTCTATTGGTCTTTTTAATTCATTAATTACCTGATTTATTGATTAATTGCATTTTTTTCCGTTTATATAGCACTTTTTATCACAAAAGCAGGCACAAGTTTAAACATTTCTTACAAATCACAACTTCTCATAATATCATACTCATATGGGTTAAAATAAAATACTAATTACTGTACAAATACATTTTAATTCCAATATATTTTTCATAGTATTGCCATTTGACCTTGTCTTTTTACATATTAAGTGCTTCCATAATCATCATAGTTGAAACCTAAAGTTGAACACATTAAATTCCCTTGATTTGACAGAAGATTAACTGATAAATTATATCTATATTAGTTTTGTGTGATCTCACTTTTTCTCAGGCCATTTCCTTGATTATTCCAAGTACTATAACAAAATATACATGTAATCTGACAATATTCAGCGAAACATTAACAAAAAACATGTTTAGAATAAAGCACTGGGTGGAGCACAGTAATTTCAAATAGCAATGTCATGTAACTAAAACACTTGGCTCATTACATATACAGTAGAGTGAGATTTGACCAGTCGAAGCTTGTTAATTGCCTGCTTGCACTATTTCCTCTGGACTGGGTGTATTTAGCAAATAATCTCTGTTGGGCTTTTGAATCAGTGCCAAGGATTTCCTTCCTTTGTGTTAAGCCTCTCAATGCATATTCACCCTAAATTTGTCTTATCTCATCAACACGATTGAAAAAGCCACTAGGAACATTTCCTTGATCATTCTATTCTAAGCAAGATGTATTGTTCATTTTCACTTATTTATTTATTATCAGTAGCTTTTGCTGTATAGTGAAAATACCAAAGTTACGTTTCAAAGTACTTTAAAACCACCCTTTCTCTAATCTCTGGAAGCTCCAGTTCAGATCTAGCGTGGGTATGAATTTGATGCGCTGATCTCATACTGCTATGCTAGTGGCTTAGTGGGACTAGAACTCAGCACTGTGCAGAAGAATGGAGAAAATACACATTTCCTGTCTTTCTTAACATTTTTAACATCAACATTTTTTGTCATATTTCATATCTTATTTAGATACATATCTCTTAAACATAAAGATATACAGTATGAAATAGTCAAGAAGTAACATCCTCACTTGGGAAACAAAGATTTGTTATACTGCTAATAATATTTTGCATAATATATAATTACTTTCATAAGAAATTTTTAAACGCTTAGGGCTGTACATTAGCACATAAAAAAGTAAACAGTAAATCAATCCTGTAAAAACAAGAGTAAAACTAAATTGTACATTAAAGCTGTAGGTAAAAAGATATTTTAAATCTTTAGATTTTAAGGCTATAACCACGTGTTTGCAATGCTAAAGGTAGCAGAGTCACGATTGCCCAGTGTATGTACTGTACCTGCAGTTTGGTACAACAAGACTGAATCATCTGATCATAGTGCTGAACTATAATGATAAAATAATCCCTTAAAATAAACTGTAGCAAATGCATTCAGTACCTTATGCATTTGTTACCATTGTGATGTTGCCTGATTGGATGCAAATTTCAGACAATAAACTATTTTCATATCATATCATAAAAGAGGCAGAATCAAAAGTAACACTAAGGTTGCTCATATAAAACATTGAATTTCAGTGCTGATAAAAAATCATTTTTGCAAAGCGAATGTTGGGAGCCTATGAGCACCACTAGTGCTGTTAGTTTAACTTAAGAAATGTATATTGCGTCCATATCTTAATATCACAAAGACACCTGCAAAGTACAGAAACCACAGCAGAGGCTTCTATTTTGATTTGTATGTAGCCATCACAATAACATTGAAATCCAGGTCAGTGTCGAGAAATAATCTGATCAAGAAACGACAAGAAAAACGTACCAAATACTAAATAGTAAACATTTCAGCAAAGAACCCTTTGCATTATCTTGACACAACAACAGATAAGTTTTACAAATTAGCTCCTAATAGTTAAGCAGGAACCAGACGAACAAAGGGAAATCCCAGTGATTCCTAGATATATTTCCATTCATTTCAGTAAAACATTGAGATTGACAGAATCCCATATTCCTCTTAGATTAAGAAGCAAAAGAATATTAAGTGCCATCAGAAGCCATCAGCAAATCATTAAGTACGCTCGATTAACTGGAGTTGTTTCAGTAATGTAGTTTTTGTCTGAACCAGAACCGAAAAGGTTCAAAAAGAATATTAGATGTAAAATAAGATTGCAATTGAAGTTACACGTCATTATTTATTTTTGAGAAAAGTTGCATTTGGAAATGGAATAGTATTTATTTAGAACTTGGGAGTCCAGGACTCATTTTTTAGCACAGGTGTGATAGCAGCAGACTTACAAGCGGAGGACAAGATTTCAGAGACTCATCGATGAGGTTAGTAAGAAATAGCTGTGGTGCTGTAGGAATAGGCTGTAAACCACAGGTATTATGTCTCGTTTTAGGTTCAAAGTTACAGATGTAACATCAGTGAAATGGGAGAATCTTTAACTTGTGAAAGCAGCTGATATTGGTCATGTGCTTACAGATATACAGCCATGTCTTTCTCCACAGCCACTGACATTGTCATCTTATTGCCTTTGTACAACACATTTCATTTATGTAACAGGAGGAGGAAAGAGCAAAAGAATGAAGATGATTTTTCAAAGCTCTAGACTATCAATAACTTCTGTTGTGGTTTCAACATAAAGAGCAACAGAATACTCAGGCAAAATGGTCTGACCTACACTAAGTATATTTTTGTGATCTCCACTATACATGTTGAATTCACCAAATTCATTGTATAGTACTTCAGTTCTTGAGTGGCACGATGGCATATTGGTTATCATTACTGCCTTGCCGTGCTGGCCCTGGGTTCAATTCCTGGGGTGCTATCTGTGTGGTGTTTATATGTTCTCCCTGTGTTTGCATGGGTTTTGTCCCAAAGTCCAAAGGGTTACTAGTAGGTTAATTGGCTTTTTGGAAAATCGGCCCTTGTGTATGTGTGTGCCTTGCTCTGGACCGGAGCCCTATCCAGGGTGTATAGTGCCTTGCACTCTTTGTTTTCTAGGATAGGCTCCAGCTTTCCCATGACCCTGTATTGAATAAAGCTATTACAAAATGGATTGAATGATGGATAACAAAGTAGTGTTAGTAGCTCAGCTCTAAAAATGAGGATAGGAAATATTCAGTTCCAAGTCAATTAAACAGTGTTGCACTTCATTGATTTGAAGTAGTCAAAGTATTAGGACATTTGGTAAATTCTGTAGCTGTCTCTTAATGGTTAGATGTCTATTGCTAGGTAAAAGAGCTGTGAATATCCTATCAACCTGTCTCTCTTTGACTTGATGTTTCAGCGTAATAGCAGATTTAACGAGTGGAGTCAACAGCCCAAAAATTGAGAATTCTACTACAAAATGTTGGGTCCTAGTTTAACACTAAGTACAAGTAGTCCACTGGCTTTCCAGTGTAACTATTCTCAAAATAGTTGACTTTTAAACTTTTGTATTCATTTGGATACACTGATCCTGATTACACACCTTTTTAAAATGGTTGACAAGCCCTTAAATGCCTTTAAATGAAGTGACCTGCTTCCTTAAAAGTCTTAAGAGTCGTCTGTGACTCTCGGAATGCGAACTCAGAAGGAAACACAAGAGACTACACAGAAGCGCTGATGGAGCATTTTCTGTCAGATGAAGAGGTCTTACATTTTACTGCTCTGTACACACTGCCTGCTCCAAACAGAGGCTTCAGCTCATATCAGGAGGAACCGGGTTACATCCTCTTCCTGCCACTCGCTTACAGCAGTGGAGCAATTTCAATGTCTAGGAAGAAGCACTGTGCTAATAAAGAGGTGAGGGGGAGGGCAGGTAGTATAAAGCAGTATTAAGCAATATAATGTCAATATCTGCTGAAAAGACAGTGTTACCTCTGCATCTTGTGTTAGTCTGTTTGTTGAATATAAGTAGATTTTGTATGATTGTTCACAAAATAAAGACAGATTAATGTTAAAAATAAACAACATAATAGTCTAAATATGAAATAAAATGAACACAATGATTTTTATGAATTTAATAAAAACACAGATTTTGTTTTGTTACTGTGGAAATCAGTAGAATAAAAGTTTAATTCCATGCCAAAAATAAAAAGATAGTAGAAAACCCACAACTCTCTATCCCAACCTCTGTGAAATTTAGTAGCAGGTAAATAGATATACCATTATACTTTTAGTCTAAAAAATAATGTTTATTTGTCATCCATGTAGTGGCAGTTTTATTTCTTTTGCTCTTGAAGAAACTTAATTTTTGCTGTGTTCTTACTGTTTTAGTCTCATTTGTAAAAGTAAAAGTGGAATCTTTAAATTCAGAATGCAGTTTTCTTACTCTAATTTTTGCCTGATTTTCAAATTATTGTGTTAGGAACAGCAAAATGTGCTTTTAATGCATGCTGTGTTTTCCTGGTCCAGAGAGTCAGCGACTGCAGCAGGACCTTCAGAAAGTAGAACAGCTGGAGAGTAAGATCAATACGGAGCTCAGCAGTCTGAAGGAGAAAATCCAGGAGATGACTGAGGGGCTGGACATTTATAGCAATCTGGATGCACTGAAAGCAGCAGGAGAGGAAAAGAAAAAGGTGACAGTCAGACTTTTTTTTAAAGACTTCTCAACTAAAGCAATAGCTAAAAAGCCAGTGACCCAGCTACGCAACAAATCAGAAGCTCATATGATGAAACCAGTAAATAAATGTATTCTGGAGCTCAGCCTTTACTTTTCATCTTGTGAGCATTGTATTAGTCTATCTTTATCATGTCTAGACCATTAAAAGAATGCTTGTGGGGACAGTAGCTTTTTATTATATGGAGTCGTAGATAGATTCTCAAACATTTTTTAACAATTTGAATACATGGAAATGGATTTAGAAAGTTATATGTATCTGGAATTTTAATACAAATACAAAATAAAAACAAAAAGAAAAAGAAAATAACTGATGGGCAGAAAAGCGCAGAAAACATAAATAGGCCATATTGCTTTTGTTTTCATGGTAGGAGCATGCATTAAGAGCTGTCTTGTTTTTCTGGGGAGCTTAAGCAGAAACTGCAAGATCCTTTTTCCCATGCCTAACCCCATATGGAACTTTCTGAGAAAAGCTGTAAACAGTGATGGGACTGTCAGTGGGCTTAAGGACCTGCAGGAACATTTCCAAATAAATCTGACCCTGGAAAACATTTAAAGACACTGGTAGCATGTAGTTATCCTTTAACAGGATGCAGGTTTTGCTGAAATGTTTGACACCAGGAAACGCAAGTTTAATAGTTTGAAAATTGTTCTGTAACTCTTAAATAACCAGTCTCTAAAAATCGTCTTAAGTTCTGCGAAAGACATGCTTATACATTTAAAAATTTGTTTTCTTTTGTTCTTTTATTTCCACTTAATTAGAGTGCCTATATCTTATAAGTAATAGTTTGGCTAATGCAGTATAAGTATCTGAGCATAAATGGAATTCCTGAACTGGATAAAGTGTATTTTAACAACAGAAAGAGTTCTCTACATATTGCAACACATACATCCACTAATTTATTTATAGACAGTAATAGAATAACCTTATAGTAATAGAACAACAATTGTCTGTCTTGAAACAGAGACTTCAGGAGGAGAGAGTGACACTTACAAAGAGAAGAGACACCTTTAAGATGGTTATGCAGAGAATGAATGCTGAATACGAAGCACTAAAGACTCAGCTACAAGAGAATGAGACTCATGCACAGGTAAGCTGCACACAACAATGGAGCGTAATATTTATTTGGAATAATATACAGTAAGAGTGTAAAAAAGAGTGGCTCGTTCATGACAGAGCGTAAAAATATTTGAGGTTAACACTTTGCACATTTAACTGTGGTATTGCAAAAATGTATACGCAAGATGTAATTGTAGCTATTTCCTGTTGCCCATTAGTCTGTGAAAAAAAATCAGTAAGTCTGATAAATTGTATGACATGCTAAACCTGGTGTGTCGCACTTTTGGCTCGTGGGCTGGTTCTGGCCTGCTAAACCCATTTGTCTGGCCTGTGTGGCAGCTGTGGTCAGAACCATCGGCCAGAATTCATTTCACGCTTTGTCTGAGCCTGCTTAGCCCACACATGAAGCAGGTGCCCTTGGTGATGTTACTGTATCAGTCTTGGAAACACATGCTCCCTGTGGGTCTCTCCGTCTATCCAGTCACAGGCCTCCTCCTCTTTGATGATGTCACAGATCTAGCTTGACAGGGGTTTGTCTTTAAAGGAAAAGCACAAGACCTGTGTGCCAACTTCCTTTAAAATTGTGGAGCAGCCATCACATTTCAGACTCACAGAAGTTTTAGCTAGTATTTTATCATCTCAAACATTTATTATCTCAAAAGGAGATTTTTGAATATACTGTTATAATAATCACTATGTAATGAAGGAAAATGAAGTTCCCAATACTTTACATGTAAAAGTTTAAGGCTCATTCATGAGGTCTAGAAACTGTCCTGATTACTGATTTGTCAAAATAAACTATTATATTGTATGTTTATGATAGTTAATTAGTAGTTATAGTTAATTTATACTTAAAAGATAAAGTGTATAAAAATTACAAACTATTGTACTGTATTCACAGCACAGTTAAGTTCCAGGTAATGCTAGTCTTTCAATCACTGCAAGCTTTACAGCAACCTTTTTATATTATTGGCTTTTGTAACACCTAAAGCACTTTTAACATATTTATGTTAAAAATCTCTAAGCAAGATCATAATGGATCTGTTTGCATTGTAGAGAAAATAATACACGTCTTTGCAGCATAAAATTGGAAATCGAATGTTTGTATAGTGAGGGATCTTTATGTAAAGTTGTATGTTTTGTTCTCTAGATTTGAAAAAGGATACTCTTAATATTTTTTTCAACAAGAAAGAGATTCACATAGTATATTAATAATAACTGCATTTAATACAATTAATAATGCTAATAAACCCAGAGGTTAATCATTTTGGTTTCTGAATTGGCTAATTGTATTTTAAAGGGACATATTTAGTTATAAAATAAATATAGAAAATCACAAATATACATGCTTAGTATTTTAGCCCGTTGAAGTACGTTCAAGTGGCCTACGATTGCAAATAGGTTAACCATTCCCGTGTTAAACTGTATCATTAGTAGTGAAGGTATCATTCCAAAATCTGATAAAGGTCTCGACATTTCTGTCTGTTAGGGTTCTTCTAACAGGTTAGCTTCTTCTTGTTTTTAGTACAATTTTGCTAACAACTTACTTTGGATATATTTTCAGGTTGTTTTTTCCTTCAAACACAAAATTATAAAGTGAGATATATAGTAATCATTCCCTCTGAATCTGATATTTTAAGTATTTAATATTGTTAATTGTGTTTCTCTAGTTCATGTGCCCTTTGTGTTTTTTTTCTGTCAGAAGGAATAAATCAGTTGAATGTGATATGTAATATTATTGCAATAAATGTTAAATACATTTTCTCAGCTAACAAACCTGGAAAGAAAATGGCAACATCACGAACAAAACAACTTTGTGATGAAGGAGTGTATCCTTTTTATGGCTTTCAGAGATTTTTTTTCCTTATTTTGAAAGGTAAAAACCTTACATCTACATATGTCATTTTACTGGTCTTGATGATGAGTGTTTGAAGATCACCAAAATTTGGAGGTATTTTTAATTTTATAAAAGGGTACCATACTATGACCCTACTGAATAGTAACGGGATTAAGCATGTTGAAACAAAATTGAATATTTACAATCCATATAAGGGAAACCATGGCAGTTTAATATGAAATTGTTCCAAATCAGTGAATGTCTGGCTGAAAGCAGGTTTCCTTAACCATTCTTATCAGTCATTGCCTCAAAGGGAATGGAAAGTGACTACCGTCCAGTTGTCAAAAATGTGACTAAACAACTAGCAGAATACAATAAGATCCTCATAGAGAGTCTTCAGAGTAGCAGAAACTGAGAGATGGCTTCCTTCCTCGCTGGAATTTAACAATGGCACACTAAATTCTTTCCTCATTTCAGTTTCTTCAGATGGGGCCACTATATTTCATGTTCCAGAAGCACCCACCTATGCCTATAACTAATGATGGTTCTAATATTGTCTATGCCTAACTTCTCATGTAAGTTTTTATGTACATATACATTTTTAATAAATGAATGGAATAAAATGGTTTTTACCATGTTTGGCTCTGTACCTTTTTCAACCTTGTTTTAATAGTTCATACAGTGATATATTTGCATGTAAATACAATTCACCCCAAAATGCAAATTTCTTTATGCACAATACTGTGATTCCCCATCCAACTCCAGACCAATTTCCAGCAGCATTAAACAGTTTCTTTTGATTATGGTAAAACTCTGATGTGAACCTGTTTATTCTGAAAAAAAAAAACACATTTCTGGTACTTGATGCTGTAATAATGTGAAATGACTGTCTTGCAATATAAAAAATTAAATACACATTGAAAGACTTAAACGGTTGGCACGGTGGCAGTGCAGTTAGCCCTGCTGCCTCACAGCCTTTGGATCCTGCCTGGTGTCCTGGACTGCAAGAGCTTCATATTTTCCCTGTGTTTGTGTCCATTTTCTCTGGGTGCTCCAGATTCCTCCCACCATTCAAAGTCAAAATCTTCAAAGGCGTTGATGAAGTAAATTGACTAAGGTTCTTCAGAGTAAACCATGAGGTGCACACAAGGGGACACAAGTGGAAACTGCCTGGAAGTGCATTTACCACATCACAACTGACCTATTCCTGTTGCATATAGAACAGGAAGCGCTTTTTACCCAAAGGATTATGAGAGTATGGAACGAGCTTCCCAGGCATGTTGTTTAAACTGATCAGAATGGGATTGTCGGATAAATAACCTGCTGTTCTGTGGTAGTTGTGCCAAATTCAAATTGCTTCTTGTTTATAGACATTGTTATGTTCTTAATGACAACCTTTATCTTTAAAACTGGAAAAAGTTCTAAGGCAGTTTTAAGGAACGTTAAGGCATGATAATGGATGATTTACGTATAGGGAATGTGAGTCAAAGGCAGTGTGCACAAGTCCTGCACTTGTATTTGGTTTCACAGATTAAATTTCACAGCAGCACTGAGCTCAGGGGTTAAATGGAGACAGGAATTTGTGGCCTGATAAAAACTATTGTTTTAATGCTATTGGTTTCCTCCAAGCACTATCAGAGCAGTGGGTTGCTGAGTATTTCTCAGCGGCCCTCTAGCCAAAGGGAAGAGAGCCTCCCACAAGCCACAGTGCTCAGGATAAGAGTTGGGTCACCGCTGGAAAGAACCCCAGGAACTCTGGGCTGGGATTTGTATTTACGTCCAATAACATCACATGAAACTTTTTAGTACATGTTAACTGGGCTGATGGCCAGCTGGGAATGAAAAAGAAAATATTCAATTTTTACTTTACCATCTTTAGCATTTCCAATAAAGGTACCGCAGAAACAGAAGGAGAGGAAAAGTACAGTCCTTTTAAAATGCAAAGATTATTGATGAGTAGTACCAGATCATCTTCTTACCAATGAGGTAAAAAACAAACATTTAGAAAAAGAAAATAACTATTTCAGTCACAAAAACTCATGTTAAAAATGTAGGACTTTTCATTGAACTACATTGTTAACTTGAAATACTTTGTCTTTCTGGTGGCACTGCTGCCTCACTGTTCCCGGGTACTGGTATCAATTCCAGCTTTAGGCTTCTGTCACTCTGGAGACTGCTTGCATTCCACATACTTGTGTGGATGTTCTCCAGGTGCTCTGGTTTCCTTGACCACTTGAAGACATGTTGGGGGTGACTATTGTTACAGCAAATGTCACTTTCTCCATTGCCTTGCTGTGGAATAGCACCCCATCCAGGAGGACAACAGTCATGTCTTCTCAGTCCCATACTGTACCATGTTCTCACTTTTCTACCTCACCTGGTGTGTAGTGGGGGGCTACTGGTGCTCATCACCCAGGTGAGAACTGCACGTCAAGGGCCACAATAATGAATTTATTATTATAAAGATTATATTTGTGCTGTGGAAGCAATATAATTGCTTCTCTTTATAGCTTTTAATCAATGTAAAACAAAGCCCTCAGTACTTGAAAACACATGAGATATGCATCTAATATTTTATCAATTCCTTAAACAGTCATAGAAAAACGTTTTATAACACAGCTCTTCAAAAAACCTACGGCAGTGAAGTTCCAGCAATTAGCTGTGCGCTCAAACCGAGGAACTGCCTCATTTATATAAAGGTAGAGTGGTTTACAAGTCTCCTGGTGTACATAAAGCTGCTTGTAGTACTCGTACTATTTCACTTGCAGCAGATGTGGTTGACCCCTGGGGTAGAACACATGCAGGCCAATGTGTGCTGTCTCAGATACAACACCTGCGTGTGGATGCCCTGCTCATAACACCGTAAACCAGCAGGGGAGATTGCTGTTAAGGGAAACTGTTTCGGTCTGGGTGAAACTTAAAACCACTTTCCATTTGGCTCTGATTGAATTGAACACTCCCAAGCATGTATCAGAAAAAAATGAAGATTCCAACCTCAGGGCTCTGGAATCATCCCCCAGAGTCAGGAGAGGATTCCTCTTGCTTGAGTCAACCGAGCCACCTTCCTCCATTTCCATATTTCTTTCTTTATGGCCTCTTTCTCTCTTCCCCCCCCTTCCTTTTCCCTCCCTCCTTTTGTTTCTTCCTCTGTTTCCTTCTCCAGCTCATCCTGCACAGTCAGAGGTTGAGACAGCACTGCTGAACGTCCAAGCCAGTAGTGCACAATAAGATCTAGACACTCATATCAATCTGAATACCCTGCTCAATTACATGTCAGGCAGTTTGATTCTGCAGTGTAACAGCCATACTGTTGTTAGTTCTTAAGGAATTCGTTATTTTTCTGCAGATAAATGAATGATAAAAATGTGTGCTCTAGGAATCATTTACTAGCTAAATACTTTTTAGAATTTGTAAAGTCAAGTTTATTCTTTGTTTAATCAAATGTTTCAGGAGCATTTTTTCTCTATTGTAAAGGTTTTCAGGTTTAAATATCTGCAAAATCACATCATGTGTAGTATCCTACCCATAGCCTGGAAGCTACAATATGTGGAAATACTTTTGAAATCAAGAACAGGAGGCACGTCTTTGCACAAATGAGTACGTTTGTAACAAGCTATTCAGATGTGATAAAAACTGTTAACTTGAGTTCTTTAAAGCATCAGCTGGTCATTGAATGGTCCTTGATCTTTGGATCAACAAGGTACTAACTACCAAAGGGGCTAGATGTACTGCCTTCTGTCTTGAAATCTATGTACTGTTTTTAGATTAGTGTGCAAATGTGTGCAAAAGACTTGTCTTCATATTTCTACATATGGCATACTGTTTGTATTTGTATTTTTTTCTGAATGAGGTTCGGTATAATCTCAAGAGTTGTTGGCAGCAAACCCAAAGCCAGCTTTTACACAGTTCATTTCCATTTCACCAGTGTGGGCAGTATGGCGTGGAGCCAGCAACACCTGTGGTCTCTGGGTAGGGCCTACAGGGACGTCTGAGGCCAACCTCTTTGCTTTCACTGAAGAGTTGAGAAAACACACACACTCACTTCTGCCAGTGAAGCATGGCACTGACAGATTTCCTGTCTTAGTCTGTCTATCAAGGGCCGTTACATCAGTATATAGATCCCACTGCAACATGCCACCCCCAGAGGAAACACAGAAAAAAATTAAGACGGGAAGAAAGTATTTTGTGATTTCTGCTGCTTGGGACTTTATATGGGTCCTCTCAACACATACTGTAGAGCCCAGATACTGTAGCTCCCTTTGTATACAGCCCATCTGTAAAAATAGATATCACTTTCCTTCCTTTACTTAAAATTCTCTTTTTCAGATTAGATTAATTACCTGGTTCCAACAGATATCCACTTAAAGTTCAGAATTTCAATGAAGTTGTTGAGATCCTAAGTGTTAATTGTCTTAAGATCAAATGATGGCGGCATTAATATAGAGTGTTTTTCCTTTAAAATCTCCAAAGGCTCTTAATAATCATTCCTCCTGTTGAACCTGGGTCTGAGATATAGCACCTCCAAGGTGAGACTCTCCAGGCATTCAACAGCGTAAAACAGAATGTAAGGCAGGCAAATAAATCATCTGCCTCCCTTAAACAGAAGGTATACCTCTGGTTACAAATCAAAGTATCCCCAAAAAATCCTTTTGGCACTGCAGTATCTGTTCTTGTATGATCAATAAGAACATACAGTATATGCATAAAATTACTGTTTTATTAAGGAAAGTGCCCAAATAGTTGTAAAGCAAGGAATGTTTTGCTCAGGATCTTGACACTGAGATATAATTTCCTATCGTGTCTAAAAGTAGTTAATAAAAATGTTAAAATACAGTAAACCTCTTTTCCATTTAATGAAACCTAAGAAGAAGTAGTGCACAAAAGATGAAAAGGTGGCCTGTTTTGCCCAAATGTATCTGTTGATCCTGCAATTTGTTTGAATTTGCTTAACGTCTAAAAAGTACCATGCATCATAATTATCTGCTCAATGCCAAGCTTCTGCTGGAAAGTTTAGCTTTGCAATTTGAAAGCAAAATATGGAGATTTGTCAGTTGTAAACCAAATTTCCATCATGTCTGTGCCATTCATCTGGAACAGGCTCTGAAATGTAAACACATCTTGAATGTAAACACACCAAACACTGTCAGCTTCCCATGACTTTTCCTGGGATAGTCCACGTTTTTAAAAAAAATAGACATCTGCAAAGTTTGCTTACTGGAGCAGTTCCCTATGATATGACTGATGACAGAGAGAAGGAAATAAGTTTTCCATTGGTAGTGATGATAATGAACGAGTCTTTGATATTGGAGTCTCCTTCCTGGAAGTGCAGCACTGATATGCCTTATATTATTGTTGTTTTTAAAATCACTGGGCTATAAGTATTTTTCACATTCAATAAACATATAATATAGAACTCGGAAATGGAGGTTTTAAAGTTCTACAAACTCTGAAGTTCTCTGCTAGGAGAAGTTCATTTAAAGCTGGCCACACTTTCTTTACATAAAGGTTCCTAGGACTTGGAGAACAAGCTACCCAGTCATGTTTTTGAAGCCCAACCACTTTCTGGGTCCCAATCTTTGAATACATTGCCGCATGAGACCCTCTAAGCAGTTAGCTACTAAAAAAATAGATGTGCTGAAGAGCCTACCCCTGTTTGCAAACTTTGGGTTGCTATCTAGCATTTGTTGGTTAGGATCTGTTCTGTTTTCAGTCGCGGAAGATCTCCTAATCAGTTTGTAATGGAGTTTTCAGCTTAAATTCAGGACCTACTGAGTGGGAGTGCAAGTAATGTTAAGCAATTGTTCAGACCCTGCCTTTCCCATCCTCATATGGAAAAGGAAACAGGAAAAAGGAACTCTTAAACTCCCAGTGCCTGGACAGCGCTGGAGGAGTGAAAGAGAAGCTCACCACTTCAGAGCAGCAAAGATGTGCAGTGACAAGCTCCTCTGACCCCCATCAAGGTCTCAACACAAGGCAGCCACAACCCTCCCTTGCTGTTGGTGCCTGAGCAAATACTATGCAGGATGGATTGGGACCGGCAACTCAGATCGATTAAGCTGAGGAAAATGGATTATTTACCCTCCGCAGTCCTTTACTTCACTTGTTTGTTAATTTCAGGTAAGTCTTCTTGTGCTTTGTTTCACAGATATTAATCATTTTTTTCTAGGATCATAAAATGCCTCCACTCACTAAAAGGGGCTTCTGTAGTTAGAGCAGCCCATGATTTCTTATACAGTACAACAGCCCAGTGGAGCGGTATGAAATCTTGTATGCATTTTCACTGTAGGAAAGAGAATGAAATGTTGAAGACGTTTTGACACTACCTTACACAAGTTAATAGTTCTGGTTACGTTAATAAGGAATATTTAAAGAACTTTAAAATGCCACAATTTAGTTTAACAGATTTTGTTCTTGAATATTTAATCTGTCTGAAAGACAAAAATCTTGTATCAACTGTTAACTAAAAGAGGATAATTAAAACTAGTTAGTGGTTGCTAAAAGTGCTAGGTAGCCTGTGCACAATTTTAGAACTTTTTGTTGAGGGACATTAATTTAAATGTCTTTTAATTTCAGGCACTCTGTTTGCTGTGCGAATAGGAAATAGTAAACTATTAGCTATTTAAAGTTGGGAAAGATTGCAGTGTTGTTTGCAGTGTGATGTTCAAAAGATATGAAAGGGACATTTAACATCGAGTTTAAGGAGATTTGCATTAACTTAACATTGAATTCTAATGTAGAAAATTGTCATATTGTAAAACAAATCTCAATTTCGTTGTTGTTCATGCATTGCTGGTGAATTATTAATGAGAAAGAGCAATAGTCAAGGTGTTCTTTTCCACAGAACATACAGAATCTATTAAACAGAATAAAATATGACACGGAACAAACATTATTACTCAAACATATACCGTATAAAATTGTGAATTTATTCCAAAACAAAATTCCATCAATAATTTGATTAATTGCTTTTATTTTTTTACTGACTCTTAATGATTCCATGAGGTCTTTGTCAGATTCATGTCAAGGACATTGTGGTATTCATTCACGTTCCATCCTTATTAAATGGCGTTGCAACTCTGTGTTAATATATTTAGCAATATTTATGGGATTTTGGGGACTTTTTATTACAGGGACATAAATATATTTTTTATTATTATTATTATTTTTATTGTAATGGGGATTAGTTCTGAGTACTTGGTTTTGACTGTTGTGAAGATAGTTTATACTTGCAATGATGGGGCTTTTCTGTAATATAGTCCTCACATTTCAATACTCTGCTGCAATACTTTTATTACCATGTAGCTACTCTCTTGCAAAGGGGAACTGCAGTCCCAATTTATAAGTCTGGTTATCTCTGGTACAATCTCTGTGACAGAATAAGTTAATTGACAGTGTAGATACAATTACAAATTTTGGATTAAGCACAAAATGGTTAACTTTATGAAAGTACTGTAAGTCACCCTGATGTCACCAACTCCTGGTCTCACTATGGGCGAGAGTGAGAGTTCACTAGGATTGCGACGTAAAACAGCCCTTCCTGCTCGCTAGTCACTGTAATGACTGATCTAATGCGATGTACTGTATGACCGAAAAAGTACAGGTTGTGCAGCAGACATTTCACTGCAGCAATGTTCTGATGTGATCTGCATGCAGAGCTAACAAGGAAGTTGTATTTGTCGGCAAAACCGTCTCAAAGTCAATAGCAATATTTGTATTGGATTAGGAGAGATGTATTCATCAGTTTCCCTACGGGATTAATAATGTATTATCTATCTATCCTTTACAATGTAATAAGGCTGCTTCATGTCAGTAAAAGTTTTGTCACCTCGTTGTGAATCGCAGAATATGGCTCTGCGCATACCTGGAAATTTAATCTATTTTGTAATGTAAATTGGAGGTTTTACAAGTTACTGTGTATATTGTATTTTTATTGTGGTTTGAAATGCACATATCAGTGCTGTTTCTTTCTAACCCCGAATTATAAAAAAAGCTTTCCAGTTCCCCATGAACTATTATACTGTACAGGTTTCCTAAACATTAACCAAAATAGTAGTAGAACTACTAGCTACAATTGTGACAAGGAGGGTAAAAAAGCCAACATCCCTTCCTACAGTATGTGCAATGTATTCATTGAAATCTTTTAAGCCATGAAGTAATGCAATAAACAAAACCTATGATCTTAATTATGTAAGTATCATTAAATGCCGGGATTCCTTTTGAAAAAACAGGAGCTGGAACACCATACTTCCTCTCCTCCTTCCCAACCCACACCCAAACTCTGTACTGGTTAGTTCATAGCCCGCACTCCACTTTAATGTTATGATATGTTACTCCTTGGGCAAACAAAAATAGAGCACATTGAACCACTTTAATCAACGTGAGGAAAAACAATACAACAGCTAGACTGTAAAATAAGGGCGAGCTAAAAACAAAAATACAAAAATAGCAATGTGGCAGAAGAACAGCAGTCAGATATATTAAAGAGAGGAAAGTTACAGAGCTATATTGGAATTTCAATTGGAATTTTCAGTTGTTATCATCATTAAAGCACATACTTATCTACAATATAAAATCAAAGCTATTCAGTAAATTCACCTCAATGGATTAATATTCTTTCATAAATATTCCAAAACATACTGAGATATGTTGACTCTTAAAGATTGAGAGTAATATGTTGACTCCTAACAGTCTATAATGACCCTGTAAAACATCTGCATTGATCCTTGATTAATTACACTAGAAATGAGGATTGAGTTTGCTTTTTTTGTACGTAGTCCAAAATGCGTGCGTATGACATTAATTTCTTTTTTTTTAACAAAGTGCGAAATGCATGCAATTCCAGCAAATGGACAAAGAGGTGTCAGTTGTCCTCAGTTTAGACAAAATCTATTAAAGCAAGATGTCTACAGAAAGCATGTCATGAACCTAGAAAAAAATGTTTTAGCTGTTACAAACGCTGCCAGTATCACATAAGTGTATAATACAGCTGTTTCAAACCAGGCTCAAATTAGCACTTTCTCACTCTAAATGTATGACCTGGAACATTACATTCAGCAGGAGGTTTCTATAATAGAACAGAGATGTGCTTTGATCTTGCATGTCTGTTCCAATTAATTAGAGTTATTAACATGCCTAATAAAAATTCTTCACCTTTCTTTGCATTCCTTGAAAACACAGATTTTCAGTTGCATCTCAGCCATGAAAAGATCGACTAAAATTCATAGCCTTCACGTCTGAGCTGCATCTGTTCAACAGTATCTTGACGTTCGGCTACAGTGCCCAAAAGCACCTCCTGGGTAATCAGGAGATTAGTTATTTAATCTATCTTTTCCTGCTGAATAGTCTAATCAGATTTACAGCAGTCTGTCCCCAGTTTTCCACATATTACTAATATTTTCCGAATATCAAAGTAGTCACCAGCCAGTTTTCCCTTTTTTTAAAAACACTGTTACATTCTCTTTCTGAGGTAGTGGCAAGGTGTTGAAATAAGATTGTTTTTCATTATTTTGAAGAAAGTTTAAATCTGATATAAGTTTGTAGTGATCAGATATCTAAAGGATATTGATTTCTTAAAAGTGCATCAAACCTGACCAATATTTATTATTTCTGTAAATAGAGTATTTTTCCTTTTAGATTAGGATCCAGTACCCTTCCGTTGTTAGGCAGTTAAATCATGCCCCTTGCTCTTTTTCCTTTTGTAATGTGTAAATCTCTTCAGTATGTAGTAATAACAGATAGACCAATACTTCTGGATCTCTTTGGTTTTGTGCCTCATTACTTTAATTTACTGAAAGCTGGAAAACTGGCGAGATATCAATATTTTCAGTAGATCTAGTTGAAGAGTAAATGGTATGGCATTGTGAGCAGCTTGCTCAAGATGAATCATCTTAAACCAAGGTTTTTAATTGTTTTATTCTTTGTGTGTATATATTGTTGATGTGTACAATGGACACAAAGGACTAATGATAAAACCTATCATTAACAGTTACTCTCAAGCATTAATTGCAGTGAAGGACATTTCTTTCCACAGAGTTTGCTTTAATACAATCACCAGAAATATAAATGCTTAATACAGTATGTGAATAAAATGAATTCTTTGTAAAAATGAATGGGAAGCTCAAAGAGTCATGGGAGCTAGCCTTCAACAAGCTACGACAGGCTACCCTGCCATGTTTTCAAAAGCTGACATCCTTTAAATAGTAAGAAATATATATATAGTATATATATAATTATAGAATAAATAAGTTAAATGTATTGCATTCTTAATGAGACACAATCTTCTGTAGTATATGCAGTATTTTTATTGATTTGCACGCATGGTTGCCTTTGTAATTGGTCTTTTTTCATGATGCTAACTAATGAGGAAAGCAGCAGAGTTAATGTCTAAGTCTATAGAAGTGTTTTCTCTGTCAAGGTATAGGGAAATGCTTTATAGATGGTGCTTCACCATAATAACAATAAACAATAATCTTAGACAATAATCCTTAGTGGCCAATTTAATAAAGGAGGAGAATAAAAATGGAAAACCTCAGACTGGGCAGGTCAACCTCCTGATTTAAATCCAATTGAACATGCTGAAGAAAACACTGGAGGCAGAACAAGAATACCTAATAACTCTAAGTGGCTGCAGCAAACCATCTAAAATGATTACCCAGTCTGGTGAGCTCAATGAGTATGTAACCAAGTATTGACATAATAATAATAATAATAATAATAATAATAATAATAATAATAATAATAATTCCTTACACTTACTGTATACTGTATAGCACTTTTCTGGTCACACCACTCAAAGAGCTTTACAGATAATGGGGACTCCCCTCTACCACCACCAGTGTGTAGCCCCACCTGGATGATGTGACGGCAGCCAACACACCAGTACACTCACCACACACCAGCTATCAGTGTGGAGGAGAACAGAGTGATGAAGCCAATTCATAGATGGGGATTATTAGGCAGCCATGATTGGTAAAGGCCAATGGGAAACACCCCTACTTTGTTCAAGAAACGCCCTGGGATTTTTAATGACCACAGAGAGTCAGGACCTCTGTTTTACGTCTCATCCGAAGGACAGCGCCTTTTTACAGTATAGTGTCCCCGTCACTATACTGGGGCAT